CCCCGGCCTCCCCCAATCCAGCCACTGCTGAAACTGACCAGCAGCTGAATCGAGGAAGCTGGGGGCAGAGCAGCTGGGATGCTGCCGGGTTGGTCCCGCGCGGTGCTACAGGACCAACCCGGCATGCGTCCCTGATTCAGCCACTGCTGAAACTGACCAGCAGCTGCTGAATCGGGGATGCCTGGGGTAGAGATGGACTATCGGAATGGGGGGCTATGAGAGGTCTGGGATGGCATCCCCCCTACCCCACCCCAGACCCCTCATAGCCCCCCTTCTGATAGTCTGGCATATTTGATAATCCGGCACCTGCTGGGTCCCAAAGGTGCCTGATTATCGGAAGTTTACTGTAGTGAGATTTCCTCCGTTCACCAGTTTCCCACAAGCCCACCAGACATGCAATAGAACAGTCTGTTAGATATTAAACTGCAGAATGGGATCTTAAGTAAAAAACTGTGTCCCTTTGGAACATCCACAGATGTTTTATATAGTTCAGACTGTATTCATGCACATAATCCTATATACATCTGAAAGAGTTAACAAGGACTTCATTAAGAGTGCACTTCAAATGGACATTCATACACAGATTGTAGAAATAAAATTTCTACACTTGATTACATTGGAATCATTAAAATTAAACCTTATTTACTGTCCTTAAAACAACCAAATTTGGGATTGTAAACATACCAATTTTAAGCCGCAAGCAAGAATCAAGGCCACTTGCACAGGTAATATTTGTCTTACATGGCCCAACAGTAAGTGAACAGTTGTAACAATCCAGCATATAACCTGAGAGAGAGAGAGTTTATTACTTAGTAAGCAGCTTCTTTCTCCTTCTACATTTGATGTTCTGACAATTGACTTTTCAAGATTGTTAGATCAAAACAGTGATAAATCCCTAAATTATAACCTAACGATAATCTGGTTTAAATACTGAAGCACCTTTCAGTCAGATCACCCAATGCTATAGTATTCTAATTCCAACAGTGAAGTTATATTTAACTCCTAATGCATTCACAAGAATCCAGGGAGATAGATTTACATAACTAGTGCTTCCTGGTCCAAAAAGATCCTCAATTGCAGCAGTTGGCAGGGAGTTCTCTCCGGACCTGACTCCAACAAGGTCCAGAACAACTGAGACTGGATTTAAACAGATTATGTAATTGCTGCTCCATATTCTTGGGGACTGCAGCCTCCATTCCATTAGTATCATTTTCTCCTTTGTTTTACCAGGACATCTGTACTGCCCGCACCCACCCACTTCATCAAAACTTCCTTAACCCTTCTCTCCTCCTAGTTCTATTGGTCTCACCCCTCCTTCTCTATTACCTTCCCATTTCTGCTCTCATGAATTCCACCTCTTACCATCCCCTCATTTTACCAGTCTCTTCCTTAACTTAATATTCTAGCAAGTCTTCAGTTCTCCTTAATTCCAAGCCCAGGTGTCTACTGGAATACATGCTATAGCACAGGTTTTCCCAGCCTATGGGTCTGGACCCAAATATGGGTCGCCAAGTGTTTCCCCAGGTGGCTCTGCCCTTCCGCCACCCCCCATTTTTTAATTGCTTTGGGTCAGCAAGTCTTCCTGAATTGTCAAAATGGGTCCCCATCTGGAAAAGGTTGGGAACTGCTGAATATGCATAAAAGAAACAGCAGTATAACCAAAATATGCTCACAAGTTGTTATAGACTCATAGACTTTAAGGTCAGAAGGGACCATTATGATCATCTAGTCTGACCCCCTGCACAGTGCAGGCCACAAAATCTCACCCACCCCTCCTAGAATAATCCTCTCACCTATATCTCAGATATTGAAGCCTTCAAATACTTTGAAGACCCCAAGATGCAGAGAATCCTCCAGCTGTGATCTGTACCCCATGATACAGAGGAAGGCGAAAAACCTCCAGGGCCTCTGCCAATCTACACTGGAGGAAAATTCCTTCCTGACCCCAAATATGGCGATCAGCTAAACCCTGAGCATGTGAGCAAGACTCATCAGCCAGACACCCAGAAAGTTCTCTATAATAACTCCTATCATCCCTCCATTGACCTATTTCCCACTGATAATGAATGGTCAATTAG